ACAGACGCCACGAGTCGTTGTCGATGACGTCGGCGACGACGATCTCTTTGACGCCGTTGTCGTCGATGACGCCGAACTCGATCTTCATGTCGATGAGCGCGTGATCCGCCGTTTGCCACACGCGCTCCAGGATCTCGAAGACGGCGCGCGTCGTGTCCAACATCTGCTGCACACGTGACTCGTCGATGAGAAGACCGTTGAGTTCGAGTTTGGCGGCGACCAGCGACTCACGTGACCAGAAGGGGTCGTGATTGGCGTCGTCCTTGAAGAACGTCTCCAGTTTGGGCGGCGAGAAGCGGTGACCTGCGAGTTGGAGGTTAGAGTGTGTGACCTTTGACCCCATAACATACTGACCTTCCTGGACGTTGGGGTGGCGCTTGAGGAAGGAGCCGGTGGCGACGCGTCGCGACACCCACTCGATGGGAATCATGGCGCACTTCTTCGCCACGAACGAGAACTCGTGGTCGGCGTTGCTCGGGGCGACGCGCGACACGTAGTGCGTAACCACGCCCACCGAGTTGAGGAACTCGAAGAGCGCGGCGTTGGTCTGCGTGGAGAGCACCGCCTTGCCCTTCATCTCGTGGCTCTTCAATCCATCCCCAGCTGTGATGCGGTCTTTGGAGCGGATGAGCACGAGATTCGCGTCCAATTCGAACACTTGTTTGGTCTTCCCCTCAATCAACAGTTTTCCCGTCTTTTTGGCGTTTATTTCTAAAAGAGAATTAAATTTAAATTTAGAAAAGTTTTTCACAATTTTTACCCATTTTTGCGTTTCTTTCGAATGAAGAGATTTTTGGAAAACTTTAGCCATAAATAGCTCGGCGAAGGTCGTTGGGAAGCGAAGGTCACTCTGAGAGCCAATGAGGGCTCGCGTGGAAACACAAGTTGAGATTCGGATAAGATTGCCATCACTTCTGCTTCAATGTGTGTTTTGGTCCAAAAGCACAGAAATGATCAATAAGTGCTCAGAAGTGCTCATGGTCATTTGGGGGCACTTCAGGTCATTTCCAAACGTTTACTCATGTTTTGGAAATAATTACAAAACTTTTGAATAAAAGAACCGAAAGTTGAAAATAATTAGAATTTAAGAATAATTTGCAAAAGTTTGGAATCTTTAGAAATATTGACTAAAAATGCGTTTTTTATTCAATGAATGTTTGGTTTAAACTTTTTTATCAAAACTTGAATTCATTTTCTTTTTGACAACAATTTTAACGTTTAATAAAAAACTGATTATTTCTCGAAAACTTTTCTCAAATTGTTTTGAATTTCGCGCCAAAAGCGAGCCATAAATGACGTGTTGTTTTTGTGACGTAATTAGAGGTCAAAAGAGATGAAAACAAACGTGAATTTGGTTCAGAATTGGAAGCGTTTTGCGACCAATTCGGCCGCTCTTCGGCCGCAGGCCTTCCCCGACGTCGCGGCCAAAGCGGTGAAGCGCGGGTCCGGCGGCCGCTCCTCTTTCAACGGACAGGTCGTGACTGTGTTCGGCGGCGGAGGCTTTTTGGGGCGATATGTGATCAATAAGTTGGCGAAGAGCGGATCCCAAGTGATTATCCCATTTCGCGGCGATTTCTACGAATGCTTTCATCTGAAGACTTGCGGCGATTTGGGACAGATCCTCTTCCGGGTGATTACATAGAGTCACGTGACCAGACACTGACCATTGTCTCCCTCTGACAGCACTTCCATCTGAAGGACGCGGAAAGCGTTTACAATTGCGTCAAATATTCCAACGGTTTGTCAACAATGAAAACATGACTTCTCTCACGCTCTCTCTCCGCAGCCGTCGTCAATCTCATCGGCAAAGACTCCGAGACCAATAACTTCCGCTTCGGCGATGTCCACGTGGACGGCGCGCGACTCATCGCAAGGATGGCGCGCGAGGCCGGCGTCCAGCGCGTCGTCCACGTGTCTGCGGCGAACGTGGAGCGCGAACTCGAGCCGCAGCTGTTGTGGAAAGGGAGCCAATGGCTGCGGTCGAAGCGCGCGGGCGAGAAGGCGGTGCGCGAGGAGTTCCCGATGGCCACTGTGATTAGGCCCACAGATGTGCACGGAATGGACGACAACTGGTCGCAGTACTTCTGCTCGTGGCAGCGACGCATGCTGTGGCGCGTGCCCCTAATTAATGGCGGCTTCCAGACGCAGAAGCAGCCCGTGTACGTGTCGGACGTCGCGCAGGCGCTCGTCAACGCCCTCACCGACGACGAGGCGCCCGGACAGACGTACGAGGCGTTCGGGTGAGTGACCTCCTCTCGGGGTGAACGACCTCTGAATGGGATTTCTCTTTCAAAGTCCGCGGCGCTACACAATGCGCGCTCTCGTGGACTACTTGCAGCGCATCATCCAGAAGACGCCCGAAGACGGCTTCCACGTGTCCAACATGCGATGGGCGCCGCTGTTTCTGGTGCGCGTGTGGCTGATGTCGCACCCGCAGTGGCTGCACAAGTATCCGCACGTGTCGTTCGAGAAGCTGGAGCGCGTGAGTGCGGGAAGGGATTGGGAGTAAAACTTTAACACGTGATTTCTTAGGAGGCGATTTCGGACATCAGGACTAAAGGCGTGAAGTCGATCGAGGAGTTGGGCGTCGCCTTGACGACCGTGGAGGAGAAGTGGGAGTTCAACCTGATGCACTGGAAGCGCATGTCGTATTACGGCGAGGAAGTGGGCGAATTCCCCGAACTGGAAAAACCCCAACAAATACCTATTGTTTAGAGAAATAAACGTTTAATTGTTTTTTCGTACTTTTTGTGAGACTTTTAAAACCGGTTTTGAGTTTAAAAAATCCCAA